AGGTCATTAGCTACATGCACTCATCAAAGAAGAAGAAGAATACCTCAAAATCTTCCAAGAAAGTTGTCACAAAGCAAACTACATTTTACAATCACTTTCTAAATTCATGATGGTTTCTATAGAATCTTTAGCGATGGCGGGAGAGGATTATCAAGAATGGGGACTTAGTATTGAGGAATGGGAGCTTCAAGAATCTGTCGTTCCACACCATTTGCTTGACGATGATTCTGAAGAAGAAGTCGAACTAGTATTAGAAGGTTCTGAAGTAGAAGATGATAATTGTGACCGAGTTGTCGATGGCTCATCGGTTAAACAAGCTGTTACGTGTGACATTAGAGCCTCGGTTAGGAAGCTGATTGATCAATCTATCTCACATATCGTTGTTCACTTCAAGCAACTTAAGTTGTTAACACTTCTTCTTGAGAACTTTTTGTTCAGCCAGCCATGTTCTTGATTTTCTTTTGTAATCATATTTATCAGGTTTTTGTTTTCATAAAAGAGTGAATTATCTTTTGTATTCGTTTCTAGGAAGTTTTTGGATTTCATAAAAGAGTGAATTAAATGTAATTATTCAATTTTATTATAAATTGAATCGATTCAAATAAAAACCTAACATGTTCGTTTTTTTTATATGAAACCATACACCAAACTCAAAAATTTGATCCAAATAGAAATTGTACTAAAACAAATAAAGTAGTTCTTACATAATAGATTGTCGTGATATCTATTTCCATTTGATCTCTTTCTTTTTTTGCTGTGATGATAAAAAAATCCGAAAACATACAAATTTAAGTCTTCAAAATTTTTTAAAATAATTTATAATTATTTCTTAAATTTTAAGAAACGTTAATAAACCTAAAGTATGGGGTATTTCTAAAGATTTCAATATTTTGGTTATTAAAAAACAAAAAGAAATGTCTCAATATTTAGTATTGTCCAAAAGTATAAATTTTGCTAGACAAAACAATTTCTTAGGAATGTTTTGGAATTTTTTCGATTTTTGAATTTCTTTTTATTACAATTATATTATTAAAAATATATATATAACGGACGTTACGGTTCCGTTAACACGAGTTCGTAAACTGGGTAGACGGACTAGAGTTGGAGAATTAAACTAGTCAAATAAAATAGTTCGATATTTATTTAGGCATTCAAAAAGTTGAAAAATTAAAAAATTTATCAGAATTTAGTAGGGGTATTTTTATGAAATTTTTCCCATCTTAAAATACCACAATACAAAGTTTCCAAAAATATTATTATCAGCAAAAGAAATCTGAAAAACTCACAAATTTAAAGTTTTTAACTTTTTACCACAATTTACAATTGGTTTCTAAAATTTTTAGAAACTTTATGATATAATGCGTTTTGGCGCATTATAACCCTTGTTTTGTAGGCTTTTATCGAGTCTTTCACTCTCTATCGAGTCATTTTAGGTACAAAAAGCAGCTGGAAGCAATGACTGGAACTTGCAATCGAAATTGGCTAGAAAAGAATGAAGTTGGACCCTTTTTGGATATTCTGGAGAAAGGGAGCACCTAGCACGAAGGAGGGAGCACCTGCTCCCAGCAGAGACATTAATGGGCTTTTTCTTAAACCTAATTTTCCAACCCTATTTTTGGGCCAGCCGTAATAGGCCTTTAAATAGGTTTTTCTTGCTGATTTTTTGAGGATCACGCCACAGCCACAGCCACGTTTTCACGCAGCAGCATCAC